AGGCAGCTGTCATTGTTCTAATTGTGCACTATAAATGATTTGAAGATGCGCATACAGCGTTCAGGCAGGTTAAGTATATATTGTCCACGAATAGCTCGTAATGTAAGTGTCATTTTCGTGGCTGAGACTATCGGTACATTGTTCAGTTTGTGTATGACTTGAGTTCCCTGTCGACAAAAGCTTATGCTCAAACATGCTATTATACAGCGTACCATCAGATATATGAAGTTCCATGGTCTTCTGTAGCTGTCAGAGATGTAAACAAGGTTCTACAGCATTGACGGAAAGTACCACTTGCAACAACATATAAAACAGATTAGGATTCTATAAACCTATTCGAGTGCAAAATCAAGAAACATATCTTAATTGAACATTAATTACTCAGTGTCGATGGAAACTACTACTGTGCAAAGTTTCGCTCAACTTTTCATTTCAATCTTTATACAATAAATCTGCCTTAAAACAGAAAAAAAAACAATAACATAAACACCAAGTCGTGTGCCTTAATAAATAGGTAAACACCAAGTTGTGTGCCTTAATAAATAGGTAAACACCAAGTCGTGTGCCTTAATAAATAGACAATTAAAATATAAAAGACGAATTTTGGCGGATATAAGGAAATGTTATACTCCTGACATGAAAACATTTCATATTATCGATAATAGCCACCACTTAAATTTTTGTCAGCCCCTTTTTGTGTTTCACTTGCACAATTTGGTTAATCAGCAGATACGGTCTTTTTGGTAGCGATGGGATTTATTACTCCTATGGTCTCTACACGTGAACATTGAATTCCTACAATTAACTTTCCCCAGTGTCAAACGTGTGCATTTACAGTAAAATATCAGAATCTGGATGTATTCTACATCCACTTTTGGTACAACACTTATAAATTAAATGACAAAAAACATTACAGCTTTGCTTGGTTTCCTAATACAAGTTCAAAAGTTTGGGTTTAAGATTTAAATTTACACCAAATTTTAGCTATTTTGTCGTATGCAGTTAACACATGTTATGCAGACCTATAGTACAATGGAATTTCTCTTTGCCATCAAAATTTGTTGGAAAATAAACCGTGTCAGCTGTAAATTCTTCCGTACCTGTGTATTGATTTTCACTAATGAAGCAATGTTGAATCATTGATTTTTCTCAAATAGTGATATTTAATAATATTCATTTAAAAAAGAACATTTGTATCTCATGGCGTCCAGTTGATGACAACGTTGTATTTTCGGTTCCACAGCTCTCGTCGAATTGTCAAGGGTGTAGCACGAATGGCTCGCCCCTTTCAGTTTGTCGAAGTATTTTTCGTGAGCTTCCTTATTTCCTACAAACGCGTTGGTTCCGAAGCTTTTGCTATCACTGCGAGTAAATCTATACCGTCCTCCTAACCAGCGTTAATAACAGAAGTACTACGACTACCGGTCACAAACAGCCCTACAGCCGAAAATTATTCCCTGAAAGTGGATATTACATGGTGATAAGACAATGAGCATTTACTCTATATGTACCCTGGTTGGTGAAAATTCACAGCCAGAGCACTCAAGGTAATCGAGTTTCTTATTGAAAGCAGTTTGGGCGTACAGAAATGGGTGAACCGAACTGTTTATTTTGAGATAATCATGGCTAAAATAAACCAGTTTCGGACAACGCTCTACGCAGTAACGAAATCCGAGTAATGTTTCGTTGATATATCATAAACAAACATTCCGTTAATGAAAACTAGATGCATATCACTTCTATGATGCAGCAATTTCATTATAGCATTCAATTATTAGGGGCCTTGTCAAGAAGAACTTTTGTAGAAGAAAGCTACTCTGAACAAGATAAGACCAAAATTAAATGACACTCATTCTCTCCTTGATTTTTCAGCTGAATCTTCCTCATTTGGATGCCAAATATCTTTCCTTTGACAAATTACTTGCCAATATTATTTATCAAAAACAAAAGTGATGCCCTTTTTAATAGATCTTATAATCGTTGTTTGAACCTTGAATGAAAAAGCTATGTTCAAGTCTCTTTTGGTGCATCTAAGTTTGTTTTCTTCGTCGTCAGTTATATAAATAGTGCTCCTATGTGAAGAATAGTAATTTAACATTACGGATGTCTCAGTGGACTCCTTGGGGAATTTAACATTAGCGTTTGAGCCACTATAGAGTCTTATGCGAATTTAACAGTACTTTTGGGTCAGTACTTTTTCGATAGCCTAGATTTATCCAGCTACCTTGCTTCATATCAGCTCTTAGTAAATATAGCTAGTTGAAAGAGATTTATCGCTCCGTTAGCTACTTATGTAGCTCCAAGAAAATGATTGGAATATTGCGACGTTTATTGCATGATACTTTGCAACGTCGGCAGCCCTGTGTTCCGTCTCTTCCCAGAAAGCTTTTTTCTCCTACGTATCAAGTAAAATCTTCACATTCTGCACTAGTGCCATTGTAGAAAAAAATTCGGAGAGAATTCCTATGAATTTAGCGTGATGCAGTTATAAAAGCTCACGGTTTACTCCATGCGGTACTTTATCAACAATCTGATATTGTTGTGGCAAAGGGGGGTATCAAAATGTAAGGAGGAGGAATGTGAATATGTGGCATGAACCGATTTTATTGAGAGAGAGAGAGAGAGAGAGAGAGAGAGAGAGAGAGAGAGAGAGAGAGAGAGAGAGAGAGAGAGAGAGAGAGAGAGAGAGAGAGACAAAGAGAGATTAAACAAGACTATATACAACAAAATAAACAAGAGAAAATTGAAACATTCAATGATTTGTTTGTTTGGGCTGGAATGGGAAACTGAATCACTATTGATTTATCTTTAACATGTTCAACCATTAGTCAAATTAAATAAAAAAATTATTACTAGTCCTAAGATAGACTTAATGTTAAAGATACTTCTGCATAAATGTTAGGGAACTATGTTATTTTCAATTAGCTTCACATTCATTCATATGCAGCATTATATACAGCAGTTGATTTTTTATAACGATTTTTGCATTTTCTTGCGAACAACATTTTTCTACAGCTCTTCTGTTTTTGTATTTACTTCGTATCGTTTGCTGTTATTTTCTCAATGATTTAATGTTATTTATACCTGTAATATGATTTGTGACCTTTGTCAAAAATCAAGGTCATAGTGTACCTTACCAGTGACATTTATTTTGCAAACAACATAATACGTACCTAATATCTCTGAGATTATAGATTAAATATACGATTATAGATTAATTACCCAGATATTCATTCATGGATGTAAACATGTTAACTTTAAACTTAGTCGGGGACATTACTTTTCTACTTGAAAATTCCCAAAGTTGTTGACAACTTTTATCGTTTAAAAGAGGAGACCTACCTGTATCCTGGCTCTATTATTGTGTCTTAGCATTTTATATAATGATTATTACTTGAAAAATTATTCATTCTTGCCTAATATTGGAAGCCGAATCAGACTCTTGCTAGTGTGTTCAGTTTCTTTTGTGTGGGTGGATTTATGTTTTCAAAATATTATTCACTGGAAATTGCAAAGTACTCAATAATGTTCTTGGACTAATACATTAATTTGGAAAAATAATATTTCATAAAAGGACATTTTGATTATTTTCTTGTGATATATCAAAAGGCTGTCACCATATTTCAGGACGTTGGTACATTAGCAAGTTTGAGACTTTAAGAACATCAATACATTCAATGTTGGAATTTATTTGGAACAGCACTGGAATTCAATTGAACTTCATACATTTGAAATTGTGATAGAACATTTAGAATTTTTAGGGATTTAATTCACAATACTGAAAATTCTTCGTAAACTTTTACTTTCTATTTTAAGGAAAAAAAAATTTGATGAATTCTACAAAATTTGTTGGTTTTCGCTCTCTTCTGTTACTTAGAATAAAACCATATTATCGTAACACTGGTCATTTTTAAACTTCCTGTCACCAATATGAGAGTTGGGGGCGCAACTGAAAGCCTGTAGATCAAACGAATGCATGCAAAGATAAAGATCTGATTACCTTTATTGTCCCTAATCGATTGAGGACGTTTTATTACAAATAACTTGCAGCCTTAAATCCCAAACTAACAGTGTCAAAGGGCAAAGATAGAACAGATGGAACAGGAGATATATTATTTCTTTCAATATCTGCAAATTAAAAACAAAGGCGGATTACATTTGGTCAAATATCTACCCTGCTTTAGACTAGAATATTCAGATATTTATCAATAACATAACACTGAAGTACATCTGAGACAAAGGACAGGAATCGATAGAGCTTATGTAATTCTTAAAACGGGAGCGGTAATAAGACTTTCCACCCCCATCTGGCTTCTATCATACATATTCTTTATTTTCCACCGCGGAAACCAGAGACAGTCATATGAAAATCACGGAATGAGTCTTACGATGAAACTTTGCTCGCTTTTTCCCCCCTAAAGTGATGATATCTTTATAATAATCATCGTGTGTCTGGGTAAATGTAGGCTAATGTCGCCAGAAGAAAGTATATTTTGCTGCGAATGAAAAAAATAACCAAAGAAAATGGTCAGATATCATGCACTTGTATTCAACTCCTTAAAGGTTTAATATTTTGTTATAGAATGTATATTGTATAACATACTCATCCTTATATATCGCGCTCCAAACTGCAAAAATCATGACCCAGGTCGACTGGTCTGTAATGGGTAGATATATTAGAGTTCTGGTGTTAGTTTAATCTCTGGTTTCAAGCAAACGGTACGAGAGCGGATTTGGGTTGATGCCATTTAAAGTCTGGTGCGCGTTATGCGCGGATCAAAATAGTACCTTAAGTTGAAATTTATCAATCGTTTTGAAGAGATGTTAAATATTAGGATCTATTTTATTTGGTGAAAATGCTAGGTATATGGGCTAATATCTAAATCTTACACGTTTCTGAGGGTTATTGATCTATCCAATATTGTATTCAGTGAGAACAATGTGATATTTTGTTCAAACTTATTTTACGCCGATTTCAGTTAGTTCTTACAGTATAAACCGCTCCGCTAGCCTAGTGGTTAGAGTGTCCGCCTCAGATGCGGGAGGTCGTGGGATCCATCCCCAGCCGCGTCATACCAAAGACTTACAAAAATGGTACTAACAGTTGCCTCGCTTGACGCTCAGCATTAAGAGGTTAGTGTTAGGACTGGTCGGACTGGTGTCAGGATAATGTGACTGGGTGGGACATAATGCGACATGTCTGCGGCATGATGCTCCAGTACTAGATATCACTATAAACTGCCACACTGCAAACATCGTAGCGATATGACTGAAAAAAATTGTTAAAGCTCCGTTAAAAATCATAATCACATTACATCTCATCTTACAGTATATCACACTCATCACAGATCGTACTCTTTCTGAATACAGCTCCGATACGCATACGGAGCATCACGGCAAGCCAGGTTACATATTTTGAAATGCACTTCATTGTGATGTTATCGGTACATTTCAAGGTCTGCCACGTACCGCGTGCTACCTTGCAACGTCGTGAGCACTTTGCTCTGTCTCTGCAAGTGAAGAATTTCTGATATTTTTCTACTACATATTAGGTAAACTCGTTACATTCTGCACTAAAATCACTGAAGAGAAATATTGCAGAAAATGCCGTATGAATTTTGTGTGTAACAAAGCTCATCTAACTACAAAAGAAAGCATAGACCAGGTTTAATGGATTTTGAGACAGTTAAAGAAACAGAGCCATGTTGACATTTAGATGTTAATGTGTCATAGTATATCATAATTGTTACCTAACTTAAAATAAAAACTTGTTTTAAAGTAAGTTAGTCAGATTTATTGATATTGGAATAAATAGGAATGGATTTAATCCATGTCATCAGAAAATAGTCGTACTTAAGAGAGAACATCGATTTTGGGCTAAGCATACACAACTTATTTCTAGATATACACCAAGTGACTGCGCATTAAACCTATTAAATAATTTATCAACTGAACCTTGCATTGATATTAAAAACGAATTTTCTTTTAACAATTTTGCAGGCTGCATTTTCCAAATCAAGTTGTTTTACTTCGTCTTCGTCTCAAACTATCAGATTCTATGATTACAAATTAAACAAACTGGTTTAAGTCCAGAAATGTATAAACTGTTGGATAAATTTAATCTAAAATGCGGTTATAGATTCGTACGTTATTCGAGGCCTATTTCCAGTTGATAAATCTGAATGTGTAATTATTGTTAAATTCCATATATGTTCGAGGCCTATTTCCAGTTGATAAATCTGAATGTGTAATTACTGTTAAATTCCATATATGTTCGAGGCCTATTTCCAGTTGATAAATCTGAATGTGTAATTACTGTTAAATTCCATATATGTTCGAGGCCTATTTCCAGTTGATAAATCTGAATGTGTAATTACTGTTAAATTCCATATATGTTCGAGGCCTATTTCCAGTTGATAAATCTGAATGTGTAATTACTGTTAAATTCCAATTATGTTCGAGGCCTATTTCCAGTTGATAAATCTGAATGTGTAATTACTGTTAAATTCCATATATGTTCGAGGCCTATTTCCAGTTGATAAATCTGAATGTGTAATTACTGTTAAATTCCATATATGTTCGAGGCCTATTTCCAGTTGATAAATCTGAATGTGTAATTACTGTTAAATTCCATATATGTTCGAGGCCTATTTCCAGTTGATAAATCTGAATGTGTAATTATTGTTAAATTCCATATATGTTTGTTATATGTTATTGTTATTTCTATTGGTCGATTCCGGAACTTATTGCACAATGGCTGCTTGATTCTTCTGTAATATGAGGAAAGAGAAACCAAACTCAGGGAACTCTTTAGTCATGCCTGCTCTTTGCAAATATTGTAACTGACTCATCTTTTAAAATTCTCGTTGTGAAACCGTCTTCACTTTAGTCGTAAATCATGTTTTGTCTGTACATGGTTTCCTTACATAAGACCGTTAAGAGTATCGGTTTCATATTATTGATAAATGTAGGGTTCATTTTACATGCATTTAGATTCAATTTCTACTATTGATTTTTTAAAAAAAAAATGCTTTCCTGGGAATGATAACCCGCAATGTGTTAATTCCTTTTAAACAATGAATATTTGATGTATTTCCATTTCACTTGTACTTAACTGCTGTTTTCAAATGGAGTAAATATACAACAAACATTTGACAATATGGATGCTGATAAAGAACTATTCTTACCTAACGTCTTGTCAGTAGGTCTGCAGTTTAGTTTATTTTTTATATATACATAGTAAATATATTCTGCGTGATATTTACATCATCAATAGTTACCCATCAAACACGTTTATATAACGGAAGCAATAATTGCATTTAGTACAGAATTTTGGAACAAATATATTGTATTTACCTCAAAACTCTAATGAGATTTCATGTTACTTCCGTGTGTATTGCTAATGGTTTAAGTTTTAGCAATATTAGTCATTCAAATAATTTTACGAAATTGTTTTTACGTTTCTCTGTAGCAGGAAGTTGTCCAAGCTACATTGGAATCGTACCATCCCACTGTTATAATGTGTAGATAAACGTAGAAACGACCTATTTTGAGTGTGAATGTTCACTATGTATGTATTTATTTATGAATGATTATATGTAAATGTATGTTGTCTTTTTACCTTTAATTATTTTTCACCTTTAATTGCTGTTACTTTCCATGTTTGACGATTTCTCTATATTAATGTAAGTAGTGAGATAACACGCCGAGGAAATTAAGATATCAGTCAATAAATTCTCTCTCTCTCTCTCTCTCTCTCTCTCTCTCTCTCTCTCTCTCTCTCTCTCTCTCTCTCTCTCTCTCTCTCTCTCTCTCTCTCTCTCATACAACTGGGCATGATATTATTTTTGACGAAATATCAGGAAAATCGTTTCGAAGAGACATGTGGTAATATAGATGAAATTTTGTGCTTGACATTACAAATAAATGTAAGAGTTATTACATTAGGCAGAACTAATGGTCGTTCAAACGCCGTAAGTTTAACAGCTATGTACAGTATTTTACAGTAAGTGGTCACGAAGGAGCAATTAACAGATGAGGGCATACATTATTTATCTGGACTTGTTCAATATTTCAAAACCTGTGGTATTAACTGTTTGGCATATTTACTGAGACTGGCGCCGATGAGTTATTTTTTTTTTTATAAAAAAAGATTTCTTTTACAGGGCTTTTATATTTGATATAGAAAACTATAGACTGATATATAGTTTTTCTGCGTCGGATTCAATGCTGAAATTTACAACTTTGTGATAAACTAGGCTCAGATAAATGGCATATAAATAATGCAAACGGATGCATATAAATAATTGATTTTACCATAGGTAGCTCATCGGCTTTTAAGTTCTATTTCATATCTTAGTAATAGGTTTCACAGATTACGTCAAATAATCTGATATTTGATGACATAATTATACAAGATAACAATGAATTGTAAAAATATGTCATAGTTTTATTTTCCATGACTCCGATTAAAAACAAAACATTGTCGTCTTATTTTAAAATCGCACTATAGCGACATCCATGAAATATAGATAGTGTTCCGCCTACTAAATAGATTAATGTTTCTGTAAAAGTCGATGGAACTTTTTTGACGGAGAAAAAAACCCCGCAACAAATACAAGCATAAATTGAACGGCTTCTGTACGGCCTATGCTGGCACAAGCAGTAAATAATGGTTACCCTGTTAGGTGTAACAACCGACGTTGAGTTGGCAATGCATTTGGACGAGGCAGAGCAGATTTACATCATGAGTTCGAACATAAATGTTTGTGTGTGTTTTTTTAAGCCTTATCGGGAACTCGAGTTCTATGACTCATAAGAGCAATAATGTTTGTCATAATTAAGAACTAAACCAGTACCATCAGGTTCCAGTTTTCTCAGTTTTGTGAAAATGGGTATATGAGCACAATCTCCTGAAGGGTAAATAACTCGGAGATCTCAAAACCCCACTTTACGTGCGACAACCGACATCTTTTGCGTCTAACTTACTTATTTTCTAATACACATCGTAACAAAACATATAACACAATGCAAAATTTAATAAATGATAAGGGTTTTCTAGCTTTATAACCACTCCCTACTGCATATTATTTCCGCCTAGAGAAGTATCTTGCCGGTCCCACAAGGATGAAAGTTTTGTCGTGAGACTAGCAACCACGCCCTGTAAAAACCCAACCTGCTACATAAACAGCAGAAGAACCAAATCAGAATGTCATTTGGGTAAGGGAAGATATTTACTGTGGTTATGTTTGCATGTGGGCAACAAATGAAAGCTGAGATGGTATCCGTTGCCGAAAAGACTGCAATCTAAATGCAAAAATATTTTTCCAAGTTGGAACTCTCAATGTCTGGGCACTCAATCAAACAGGAAGAATGATATAAATATTGATTATATGGAAAAATAAAGGTTAGATATACTGGGCATGTGTGAGATAAGATGGACTGGGAAGACGAAGTCAGGGAACTATACAATCTAGTATTCGTCATATGAAGATCACGACACACATGATCTAACTTGATACCAGCAATTGAACCTATTATAAATGCCCGCCAACAGACAAGATATAGTGACAATAGTGACTGGCCATTCATCTAAAGAAGCAGCCACGGATAAAGAAAAGATCTGGGTATGACATCAAAATAATTCAGTGGGATTTAATGGACAAATTACTAATATTAGAACTGGATGTGAATCTAAAATTGGATCACACCGATCAACATTGGAAAATAGAAACGGAGATCGACTTTGGCTTTTGCAGGTCAAACAGCCTCTTCATAACTAGCACCTACTTTGATAATAAAGACATTCACAAAAGTCATGGATATTGGTATACGGGTTCACAACAAATGACCACAAATAAAACCGACCTCTTCTGTACAAATAACTTTATGAAGTCAACAGTATGAGGCACTATGGTTTACAGAGGAGCTGATGTGGAAAGCTTTTTGGTAATAGCTATGAGCAAATTACATCTCAGTATCCCGCAGAAGCCAAGACCAACTAAACTTAATCAAATGAAAATATTTAAATTGCAAAACGAACTTCGAATTCAAGCTCAGAAACCGATTCTATACA